AAAAAATTTAGCTAATAACCTAAAATTGAATAAACCAACAATGTTTTAATTTTTCTACTCTACTCATAGGAATGGTGTCAAATTTTAAACACAAATCGTTTTTATATGTTGAACATAGGGTTTTCTCAAAGCGATAAAATAGAAAGTAATTAGCCGGATACTTCATAAAAAATAAATTTTAACCTGGTTTAAGTTTCTCAATAATAGGCTATATATTTATATTATATATATATATATATATATATATATATATTATTATTATTATTAGTAAAGTATTTTATAATTTATAAAATTATAATGGGTCCTTTATATTTAAATTTGATACGTACCGTAAACGTTTTTAGTTGTTTTACCATAAATAACAAAACATAAGATGTTGTGACCCTTTGAGGTAGAAGCAGTAATAGGTAGGTACAATAATAAATAAATAAATTGTTGTTTTTAATGAATTATATGAATATAATTCGTTTTAAAATGATGGTTTAAAGCAACTGTAGTAGTACCATAAATATCCTTATTAAGTATGCAAAGAAATGCAAATTCCAGTACAATAAACAAGTGATGTACAAGATAAGACGGTCATATTCTAGGAACGCGATCACTATAACTGTCATTCGATACCTAATTCATTACGTCCAATGGAACATTTAACATTGTGCATATACGGTCAAATCGGCAATTACCACTTTTTCACAAGCAGTGACTAATTCTAATTTATTATTACTTATTATTTATACAATTTTATTTCTAAGTCTAACTGTTTTGATACTTATAAATGCAAAGTCTTTTATCAATAGCTTTCAATAAATTATTATTACCTATAATATAACAAGCGGTATGATTATCACGATTTCGTAGGATGAGTGAAGTGTGCTTTTTCGGTTTTAATGAGACAATGTCAATTAATAATCATTAAAGGAGTTATATTTAGTCGGAAAATATAACGAATTTTAGGATGTAATGGATTCTCAGTTTGACATTTAAAATTACCATTGTACGATTAGGAATACAAAAAGACTAATTAGTATATAACATTTTTTTTTACTCCTATTACGGAATGGCCGTTTAAATATCACTTTTTAATGCGGAATGACATATATTCCATAAATAATTACAGAATGAATTATTCTATCGTCAGATGACGGAATAAACACTGGTGGCGACATTTCTGGGTTAAATATCTAACAAATTTTAGACCGATCCAACTTCACTTTCTCCCAATTAAATTATTTTTCTATGGTATTTTTTGGAAACGTAGGAAAAGTTTAGTCTGAAACATATTATTCAAACTTTCTTAGAAATAAAAATAATTTACTTACTTGGTTTTATTGCAGTAGGTACATATTCTGCCCTGCTAAGCAAGAAGATTCTGACATTTTTCAGAAATGGAGCTGTCATAACTAAATCAAAGATTGGACATTTCTGCATGTTTTGCACTAACGCAGAATGTTTTATCTGCATTATTAAAATGATAAATCTTCTATTAATTTTGTCCTAACTACAAAAAAATAGTGTGTTACAAAAAAAAGTAGTCTTAAATTACAATTATTCCAAATCAACAAATTGTCAGATATGACTTTCTTGCTTAGCAGGGCAGTATTGTGCACGTGAAAAAGACATTTTTTATAAATAACACCGATCTTCCAATAGTATATTATATAACAATAGTTGTATGTAGGTAAGCTAATCACACGAGTTGAAAACTAACTATTGTGTTATTGCTACTTACAACTGGATATATACTATACGTTTTCTACGACCTAACCAAATGTATTAAAAATAAAACTACAAATGATTGGTAAATTCAGAAACGTGAAATGTCATAAATAATTTTTTTTATCTAATAACTTATGATTCAGAAAACAGTTCTTAAGAAGAAAACAAATATTTACAACAAATTCTGAAATAATAACTTTATTTTTTTGTAATATAATTTGTTGTATTTACTTCTTTTATGGAAAGAATAAATTGCGCCTTGGATATACTTTCGTGTATTCCTGATAAAATTTGTAAACACGTTACAAGGCCATTTATTTTCTTGCAATGGTTTTTCAATTTGTGTCAGCACAACAACTTAAACTACCGTCAACATTATAATAATATAATAATAAAATTCTGTAACAATAACATAAATTTGAAATTTTGAATGTGATCTAATCATACTACACTGAGTGTCCCTTTAACCACTATCACTATTGTTTATTGGAAGTGGCCATATCTTGCTGAATGCTCTCTTGTCCAAGAGAACACCTTTGTGATGTCAAATTATCTTCTTTGATAAGCACACTGTCTCCAATTTTGACACTTCCTTGAGACTTGAACCATTTTGTACGTTGCTGCAACACTCACATATTCCAACTACCATCGGGACTGAGGTGGTTGGACTCCTCTAACGCCTGAAAGTTGTAACGTATTTTTTACTAATAAATAAAATAAAGCACACGCCGGCTAGTTTTCAGTTTGACTTTGTGAGCTAGATCGTGTGTTGGTGTTGGTTACTAAAAATTTAAGTTTTATTAAAAGATGTTTATTTAAATGGGCGCCAAATATTTCAAATTAAACTATGTATTAAACAAGTAAACGAAATATTAATTGACACTTTAAAAAAAATATATATGTAATAGATGTTAAATAGAAAATTTTATAAATATTATTTAGTTTCTGAAATAAAACAAAAAGATGATAAAATAAAAGAACCAGTTTTTACACACAGTTTTTTAATACGCGGACAAAAAAACAAATAAAATCTACTAAAAAGAAAACAACTGTTATTAATGCTGATATTTAGGTAAGCTTGTTAAACTATCTATAACAAAATTAAGTAAAATACTACACCCCTTTTAGCATACACTGGAAGAAATAATAATAATGATTGATTTATACAATTTATAAAATTGGCAACAACAAAATAATGGAAAACTGCAGTTTACCTTTTACAATTATATAAAATCAGTGAGTAGTATTTCCTTATTTTAAATAGGCGATGTTCCTAAGGCCTGTTGTTTTCTAGGTTGCTTCGGTTTAGTCGCTGAACCTTCAGGATGGTTCACAAGTAGATGACGATGTACAAAGGTAACACAAAGGACAATATATTCTTCACAATTGAACGGATTATTGTGTAAAACTTCAATTTCCACAAAATAAATGAATACCAGATATTCCAAGAATTATTCTTGTTCCAACTCTTCAAAATTTATATTAAAGATGATATGATGATAAAGTGAAGTTTGAATTAACTTTTAAAAGGTGTACTCAAAAAAAGGTGTACTCAAAAAAAGGTGGCAATTGTTCTTAAAATAAAGATTTGCCTTGTTCTTTATAATAATAGAATTAAATAAATTTTTATTTGGCTTGAAACACAACCGACTTCTTCAAAGTATCGAATAGAAAAGAACGTGGCTAGATCTTAAAAAAAATAGTAATTTTCATTTAGAACCAAATTTGTTTAGAGGATTTTAGCTTTAACTATAGGCATTACCAATATTTTAATTAATGTAAATAAAAAAAATAATGTGTATTTAAATTTGAATTTAATTTAGATTTTAATTTATTTTTAATTTACAGCCAGCTTCAATTGTCGAAGAAAAATAATAAAAAAATATTCATGAAATTAAATTATGAAGAATAATTACATAAGTCTTAAACAATGGTTATTTAATCTATGGAAATTAAACACAAAAAAACATAAACAAACGCAAATTGCAAATGACAGCACTTACAAGAAAACTATCACCTATTCCTAGAATCTGCTAGGAAAACGGAAAGAAACTTGAACATATAAATATAGGTAAGTTCTATTTTATAATACAACTAATACTTTGCAAGTACATTACTATTTGTTTTCAGGATTCATAGAAAATTCATAAAGGTCATGTGGAGCTTATAGCTGGAAATATTGGACAAAATTTAAATAACTAAAAGAGATATCATACAGTATGGAGCAGAATTGAAATAAATTATGAAACTAACTCATTTTATTGTTTACCTTTGCATTTTAACACAGTATAAGTATGCAGATTTATTACCAATATTTTCTGTAAGCATAAATATGACTAAAATTCGCAATTCCAATTAAAATTTTTGTAACGGCACTTTTGCCCGTTACAAAGTATACAACCAGTAATACAAATCCAATTTTTAAAATAATATATTAGTTCGTTTTCGTAACTAAATTAAATTAAGAAAAAGTATTGTACAAAGTTTGATTAAATGGGGCATCTGGTGATGTTAACACCGATAAAAAACCACTTAAGCCATTCTAGAATGCGGAGAGTACACCCCGTATCATGTTACGCCAATAGTAATACCTCTCCACAGGAGCTTCATGCAGTCAAAGCCGACGTACATACTTTTGTTAGATAATAAATTTATTGTAAATATATTAAGATTTTTTATTTAAATAGTTAGTTAGTTAAATAATGTAAACTTGTTTTGTATTACTTTAGTTTTTAGTACCCAATCTTATTAGCGATCTAAAAACCAAATAGTGAATTTGTTTGTATTGTTTATAAAGTGGTACCGAACTCGGTACTATTTTAATTGTAATCGGTCTAATTGTTATAGAGCTGTATGGAGCAAAACATTAAACTTCCAGCATATATCTGATCAAGTTATTTGTAGAAAACTAGCAAACCTTCTGAAATACTATAAGCGATGCAAAAAGAAACAAAACTTGGTTTTATTGAACGAACTGTTTGACGTGACCAAGGTAAAAGGCGAATGGATGTGAAAAGAGGATAAGAACCTTCAAACTGCAAATTAAGAGCAAGCGCAAAACCCCATCAAAGTGAAGGAAGACAATAAAAACGACTTTGTCCACACTTACCACCTCAAAGCCACCTGATTGTTCCGAAAGTAGCACGGACTCATCCGACAACAGCAAAGACAGTTCTTTGGAGGATGAAAATGCAGTATCAACAAGCACAAGGAAGTAAAACCCAACAGGCATTGCAAGACGCCTTATTACAAGCTCAAAGCTGTCATCCCACGGAGCAGCTAAGATGTGTCGCCAGCTTTCTGGAGAGGCCATTGAAATCCCAACCCCAAGTCAGTCAGCAATTCACAAGGCTATCTACGCGAGAGCTACTCAGGTAAAAAAGCACTTAGTGGGCACGCTTAATCTGAAAAAGTAGAGTCTACACTTTGACGGTAAACGCATTAAATATCAGGCGGTGGTCCTCAAAAATGATGCAAAAGAAGTTAAATTGACTGGGCTCAAACTAAAAGATGGAAAAGCTCAAACAATCGTAGAAGGGCTTCAAGATGTGTTAGAGGAATTCAACCTGCGGGGATCAATTGTAATGATTGTTGCCGACACAACAAGCATGAATACCGGCAAGAGAACAGGCGTTGTTGTTTGGCTACAGGAAAAATTCGAAGAGAAATGTCACCCCAAACCCAAGTTCATTAGTTGCCAGAACCATGTGCTGGATCTATTTATTTGGGTTGTCATGGACAATGAGCTCCACGGGTCAACCAAATCACCAAACATCGAGTACTTCTTTGTATTTGATGAGCAATTATGATAAATTCAAAGTAGCCTTCAGTAACGGTGAAACTGAGATTAGGGACGACATGAAGTTTATCTACCACCTCACTCGTGTCTTCCTTCACTTTACTGAGAGGAATGTGATTCGTAAAGTTTTAACAGATCCCAAACATTAGCAATGCCCGCTGGAACTCTCGTGCCCTTCTTGGGTTTATTTTGACGCCGGAGACCCGGAATCGGCTGCGAAAAATCTGTTCATTAATTTCCTACTCATGGGCATTGGTTCAGCAGTCAATTTTTCCTTTCTAAAGATTTTGAATATCTATCTGGAACCACTGGAAAATAGATGAATCTCCAATCAACACTGCCCTATGCAACCAGTTCTGAGATGCCGCAACAAGGACAACCTCCCACTAAGATTTATCGTCTCCAATGACATTATCTTGAATAATTAACTTCTTTCTATATTTGATGATCCTATAAATGTTGTGTATACATGCAGGCTTATGTTTAATTTTGTATTTGCTAACAGTGACTACCAAAAAATGGTCAAAAAGCTGATACATAAAATTTTTTAAATCATTTTATGCGTGAGATTTTTTATCAAATCCCTTTCAAGTTTTTTCATTTTTAAGTAAAGGCTCATTAAATTATAATACAGGTGAACGTCAATATACTGCTTAATCTCGTTTAACTTGGAAGGGCAATGATATTAAATCGACAATACATCCTGTACCTTCCGATATCCTGTAGGAACAGCGAAAAAGGCAATGCCCACCGTTAAATCGTCAACATTGGAAAGGTCCCTTCAAAAATCTTTTGGCATCCACATATATACAGGGTGGCCCATCGAAAACGTACCACAAGGCATTACAGGCTGGGAAATAACTTTTCGGCAAAATCCAAAAACACGTCAAGTGTTTGTCAGGGGGACAACTTTTGACACAAAAAGCAAATCAAAATCTGGGAATGGTGGTCAAATTACACCTCATTAAAAAGGGTTTTTGATTTGCTTGTAACGAAGCATTATTTACTTCGCTGCAGTTTTCTTTAACCGGCAATAGGTAGTCATCCACCAGCCAACAGATGCCGTACCATGTACTAAAACGACTAATTTTGACATTCAGTGAAGCATAACGGCGGCGATGTTGTTTTTACAGTATTTCTTTACCCAAGTTCTAGCTATAAAATGCTGAATTGGACATTATTAAAATCAGTCTACTGGTGGCTCGTTCCGACTGGTCTAATACTTATTGGATAACCCATACCGAGACTTGAATGCATAACCAATAAACACAATTACGTAAATATGATGTCATGTCATTATTTCACACTTCCTTACGTCAGACTCTGGCGTAATAAATATGACATAAATATGACGTAAACATCTTGATGTAACACAGCCAGTGTCAACTTAACGAATAGTGCCACATAAGAGAGATGCATCACTTACATTATGCAATAGTGATTGCCCATTATAAGTAGATTTATACTATTTTATAGTAGATGCTTACTTATCATAGGCAACCTTTACTGCATATTGCAACTGTTAACAATTAATATATCAATGTTATTTGACAACTTTAGCCTTATTTGTCTGAAACACAATAACCGGACCATATTATAATATTATTATAAAATGTGTTTATCAATGAAGTAATAGTTTTAAAAATCTCTTTTGGTTTCTTAATACTAAAAACAGGGGCGGATGGGCTCCGGCGGGACGCCGGTACAGATCCCGTTGGGCCGCTATGTCAGATTGTCCGAATGGACATCTAGACTGGCCCAAAAAAATGATAAAAATACAACACCGACATTTGAACATTTCACCCCTTATAATTTCACATAAAACTTCATAATTTATATTGGTTTTTCATTTAGTTTTTTTACGAAATAATAAATTTTAAATACATATTTTAAAAATATAACGGGTATTTGTTTTTTGTCACATAAAAATGTCTATAGTCTATTCATTTTAAAAATTCACTATATTAAACATTTTTATAAAAAAACATATATTTTTAGGTTATTTTTCAGTATCTTAGGTAAAAATTCTAATTTAAAATCCTCCTGAACACTTTTTTTATATAGAGGTTTCGGGGAAATGCATTATGCACAACCTCCCGGCTGATGAAGTGGCGCCGGGAGAGTGTGGGACTCAAGCACTCTGGGAAGTGCTCATACCCACTAAAACCCCCCTCTCTTCGTAGGGGAAAACCTCCACTACTAGGAGGAACCGCCCATCGGCATAACCTCCCCTAGGCCACGGAATCTTGCTGTGTTATCTCTAGCTGCCTCTAATCACTACCGCTCGACTCGCTCCCTCACCACGGGGTCTTTCCTCATTAGTATGCTACGGCACAGCCCGTCTATGGCCGCCCATCCCTCCTTACTGTCCAGCATCACCCTCACCAGGTTCTCCACCCCTAGCGGCTCACCCGCTGCCCTCTCTGCCTCCTGTCTCTCCAGCACGCACTCATCACAGTGGAAGAGTACGTGCTCGGGGGTCCCCTGGACGTTGCAAAACCCCCCGTGAGCACCGGCCTGGTTTATAATAGTTTGTGTTTTATAAGATAATAAAAGGGATAAAAATGAATTAAAAAAGTGAAAAATTAAACATAATTTTGGTACAATTTTTAGTAAAATAAACATTATATGATTAGTATCATCCAAAAAATGCGTTCTAAACAAAAATTTAGTAAAAATTTTAGTTTGATATCCATGTAATACTTGGATTTGCATAATGCTGTGTTTGTCTGTCTTAAACAAAAATTAAAATAAAAACAAATAGGTTAGTTAGGGGTTGCACCCATTGGTCCCTCTGTATCGGCGAATGCTTTTTTTGGCCGGCGGAGAAATTTTTTACGAACACTCGGTTCCTCTTGGGGCCCCGAGTAGTGTGGGACCGTCTATTGACGTATACCCATTAAAACTTAGGTGGTTCAAAGCCCTGCACTGCGGTTTGCTTTCGCAATCCTATTGTGCCCTAAATGGTATTACTTCCATAGCTCTAGCTCCGTTGCTTCTATGAAGCGCTGTAGCCGAGGCAGTGGGAGCAATTTTAAAAGTTCTGGTGTAAGTTTAGACTCTCCCAGGTGTGTTCTTCTTAAGGTGTTGAATCCCTCACATTGACACATAATGTGAAGAGGTGTTTCCTCTTCTTCTTCGCATCCTCTACACAAGGGGTCATCTGTCATCCCATCCATTTTGTGAAGATGTTTTTTGAATGGAGCATGGACTGTGAGAAGGCCTAATGCTTTCTTTAGTTGGATCCTGGTATATTTCCTCATTGGTTTCTGCCCTTCAGCAGATGGATTGTCCAAAAGTGCTTTCGAATGCTCCAGACCAGACAGGCTTTCCCAGTATTGTTTGTCTTGTAGTTCTGTCCAGTCATTAGGTTTTTTCTGAACGATTCTTGGCTGGTGCCGCATGTGGGTTCCGGCCCCATCAGCAGGGTTTCGGCTTCATCCGCTGCGAAGTTTGGCTTCCACCTTATCGAACTGTTTCTGCATTCTTCTTGCACAAGGATAAGAGTTATCTGGTTTTGTGCTTCGGTTAATGCCGTCATATTTCCCAGACATTCTAGTACGGCCTTCGAATTGATTTCAAATGCCTCCAGTGCCTGGATTGGTTCTGGTTCGTGTGTAATGATGGTGAGCAACTCCTCCGTGGGATTGCTCTCCCTCATTCGTTGGAAACCCAATTGTATGGCAATGATGCCCGCTTGAAGATCGGTTATCTCTTTTCCCAGGTTTAGTATTTCTTGACTGCCCTGTTTAGATACCTCTTTTATGCCCGCAGAAACACCGGTCTTTGACCGTTTGTGTTCTACGTGGTTTTCTTCTTGCCTGAGTTGGGCAATTCGGTTGTTTATCTCCTCAGCCTTTATACTTTTTGAGATAAAAGCTTTATTGAAGTGTTTGACCTTGGCTTTGTCTGTTCTAATGGCTAGACTGCCAGTATTTTCTAGCTCTTCAAATATGGCATTATGTCTGATGTTGGAAATAACTTCGGCCTTATTTGAGATTAGTCTTTGGGCTCCCCTAGTATGTTTTCCATGGCTGCGGTCGGTGTAGTTGTCATTGCACGAGTTATTCCCAAGCACGCCAGTCTTTGGATTCTGCTTAGTATCTGTTTTACAGTCCTTGTTTTTGTTGCGTGCCACCATATTAGCGCCGCGTAGGTAATTATGGGTCTGACTATAGCTGTGTACACCCTTTGTACCCTGGTGACAGTCCCCAAGATTTACCAAATGTTCTTTTACAGGTCATGAAGGTTTTTATGGCCCTATTTGATATGTTTGCTATATGCATCCGATAGGTGAGTTTTTTATCCAGTATAACTCCTAGATATTTAACCTCGTCTTTCAAGGGCAGCGTTTCCCTGTAGAAGATTAGATTTTTGACGGGTTCCAACTGTCTTTTACGAGAAAAGGCAATAAGGAAAGTTTTTATGGGATTTACCCGAAGTCCCTCCTCATTGCACCAGTTTTCGACAGCGTTTAGCGCTCTTTGCATTTTGGTAAACACATGGGCTGTGTTGCTGCCTCTGATAAGGAGTACAATGTCGTCCGCATATCCTATTGCATATATTTCTTTGTTTTCCAATCGTGTCAGTAAACTGTCCGATACGAGGTTCCATAGCAGGGGTGATAGCACCCCCCCTTGTGGTGTCCCTCTGCACACTTTAGCTCTAACAGTTGTGTTGTTAAGAGTGATTCTGGCTCGTCGTTGAGCCAGCATCTGTTTGATCCATTTGCCAACCAGAGGTTCTTTGTTGCGATCTCTTACTGATCGATTTATTGAGTCATATGACGTGTTGTCAAACGCTCCTTCGATATCCAGGAATGCCCCAAGGGCCACTTCTTTGTTGTCTAAAGATTGCTCAGCCCTTTGGGTTATCTCATGGATGGCGGATACGCAAGACTTGCCTGTTTGGTAGGCAAATTGATTTCGGTGTAGAGGCCTTCTGTGCTGCACTTCTTCCCGTATATGTTGCTCTATCAGTTTTTCCTCTGTTTTCAGAAGAAATGATGTT